GTGTGGAAATACAGATGCTCAGCCAGAGTGGACCCTGGCATTGATTCATGATGCTGTAATTATTCTTTAACAGGAAGGTCAGATGTGAACTGCTGACCAGAGCTTGTAGATGCCTGACCAGACTCGAGGAATCATCTGCAGCCTTGGCCATTGTCTTGGTTACTTTTGTCTTGTAGCTGAGACAAAAACACCTGACACCCAACATGAGGGAAGGAAAGGTTTAGTTAGCTTACAGTTTTTTGGGGGGGTTTCAGTCCATAGTCAGCAGGCTCCAAGGCAGGGTGGTGGGGCTCAGGGGTAACTCTTCAAGGCAGCAGCCAGAGCAAAAGTGGGATAAGAGGCCTCTTCTCCTCCTTCATATTGTACACAGGCCACCCGCTCCCACCTTCAGGACTGGTGTAGCTCTCCCCAAATCTCCTTCCCTTCCTCTTGCACAGGATGAAGATATTTACAAAGTAAGAACCTGGCTCCCTGCTCCCCGCTGAGGCTCTCAAAGTTCTGAACTTCTCAAGCTCAACTAATGGAAACACCTTCAGACCTCAGAGGTACTGGAAAAAAGACGTGGAGGTGGCAACTTTAGGAACCTAAATTTTTCTATTCCTATATCTCATCCAGCCTCATAAGCTCAAAAATAGGTCTCAGAGTGTGTTTCTATTGGGCCAAGGAGTTATCTGCAAAGCAGTTGATGTACTGACTGACCTCAGAATGATAATCCAAATGCAGAATCAATTTATGTTTAGACAGTTGCTTTTTAGGGACTCTTTTTAGTCTGCCAGGACCACTATAACAAAGCTGTGCACCCCGAATGGATTCATCAACAGACATTTCTTGTCCGCTGGTACCAAAGGCCAGTTGCCCTCCCTGAGCTTCTAGACAGATATGTCCTCAGCTCCTTCTAGTGTAAGAAGAGCAATCCTGCTGAATCAGAGCCACCATGAGGACCTCATTTTACCTTAATAATCCCTTTAAAGACCTCATAGTCACCAAGAAGCAAGCCATCCTTGCAAATCAGCACCCTGCTCAGGTTGCTGAGTGGACAGGCAGACCCCAGCCCCTTCTAACACACAAGCTGGGAAACAACAAAAGCCAACTTCCCCCCACCAGTAAACAACTAGCTGATGTGGAGAAACCCACGATGGGTGATAGCTATTGATTTGAAATGCAATTTGATGCTTGTGGTGTTTGGTGTTTCACTGACCTTGCAGGTCTAGGGCCTGTAGTCTGATTATGTATTCAGGTACACAGTGTGGCATCTATGGGGAGACCTCCTACTGAAGGTAGTAGCCATTGTTAATTCCCTGTTATCTTGTTTTTGATGTCCTGTATCATTTTCATTGTTCTGCTCCATGGAGTTCAATCTGTTTTGTTTGATTTTGTTATGTCCAGTGGCATGGGCGGCTATTTCAAAGACAGCAAGATCTGTTATGGTAGCCAGTTTGTATTTATTATTATCGTGTTTTGAAGTCCTGTATAGCATTCATTGTTTTGTTTTTATTGGTTCTATTCAGGTCTGTTTTGTTTGATCTTTACTATGTCTGAAGGTATCCGCAGCTATTTTGAAGACACCAAAAGGTATTATGATAACCACTGTTGCTATCATACTGTTTTGAAGTTTTGTGTCACACAGATTTGTTTTGATTGGCTTTATTCTGTTTCATTTTACTTGGTTGTATTCTCTTTAAAATAAAATAAAAAAAAAATAAAGACCTTCCAAGGTGAGGGCTTCAACACAGAATTCAAGAGAAAAGGGGCAAATTGGGACCCCTAGCAGAAATTTTCTCCCATCACAAAGGCCTCCCTCTCATTTTGTGGACATTTGCTTCCTGTCACCGGAAGACCCCCTTGTTCCCACTCACAGCATCCCCATGGTAACCAAGATCGATATTCAGGTCCAATCCCAGCTCCTCTGATGACCACAGAGGGGCAAAGGATGGGAGCATCCCGGGCTGCATGCATCCCTGGGAACTAGGATAGGGAACTAGGGTAATGTAGGCGAAATTCTCTCAACAAGTGGTATCTCATGTTCTGTTTCATGGGGATAAATGTAGTATTAGTAAGGTACCCTAAAGCCCCGGGGTCTGGGTGTCTTACAGAGCAGCACTGGATTATGTCTCCAGCTGATCCGTGTCTATTCATCACAAGTTTTGAGAGCACATAGCAGCACCTCAAAGACGGAAGCCACAGCTCTAACTGAGTCCCTGAGCGTGGCACCCATAGGAACACGCAAGGTTCCATCATTCCTCTTTCCCCATAGCAAGTATCTCCCCAAGGGACAAGGTGGAGGAGCAGTTCAGCAAACATCCCCATCCCATTGCACAGCAAGTCCAAAGCTGTTCACAAATAACGTAACCTGGTATTTGTACGGTTTCTGCTTTCTGGAATCAAGTCTAAATATCAGCAGGTATCGGGACTTAAATCTCAGCATTGAAACTTAAGTTTTTATTTCAATCTACTTGCATTTTTTAAAAAAAATTCTGATTGTTTGTGACCTCTGCCATTTGGAAAACAGTTCCTTCTTCCAGCCACACTTGTGGGCGGTGACTTGGTGGTGAGGACCAAGAACACTACAGATGCCGCGCTCCTCTGCATTGTCACAGATTCTCTCTCTCTCTCTGTGTCTCTGTCTCTTTCTTTCTCCATCTCTGTTTGTCTCTCTGTCTCTATTTTGGTCTCTCTGACTCAGTCTCTCCCTCTCTCTCTGTCTCTGTCTGTCTCTTTCTGTCTGTCTCTCTCTCTCTCTCTGACTGTCTCTCCCTCTCTCTGTCTCTTTCTCTCTTTCTGTCTCTGCCTCTCTGATTCTGTCTCTGTCTTTCTGTCTCTGTCTCTCTCTCTGTCTCTCTGTCTCTGTCTGTGTCTGTCTCTTTCTGTCTGTCTCTGCCTGTGTGTCTCTGTCTCTCTGAAGCTGTCTCTGTCTTTCTCTCTGTCTCTCTCTCTGTGTCTCTCTGTCTCTCTCTGTCTCTCAGTCTGTCTCTCTCTGTCTCTCTCTGTCTCTATCTCTTTCTCTGTCTGTCTCTGTCTGTCTGTCTGTCTCTGTCTGTCTCTTTCTCTCTTTCTGTCTCTGTTTGTCTGTCTCTGTCTTTGTCTGTCTGTCTCTGTCTCCATCTCTGACTCTGTCTCTCTGTCTCTCTCTGTCTCTTTCTCTCTGATTCTGTCTCTGTCTGTCTCTCTGTCTGTCTCTTTCTGTCTCTGTTTGTCTCTGTCTTTGTCTGTCTGTCTCTGTCTCTCTGACAGTGTCTCTGTCTCTCTGTCTCTGTCTCTCTGTGTCTCTCTATCTCTCTCTTTTTCTGTGTCTGTCTCTTTCTTTCTGTCTGTCTCTCTCTGTCTCTCTGAAGCTGTCTCTGTCTCTCTCTGTGTCTCTGTCTGTCTCTCGTCTTTCTGTCTCTCTCTCACTGTGTCCCTCTTTCTGTCAACATTTGAGGCTTACTCACCCTGAAACACGCTGTTATATGTTTCTCAGCTCATGTTTTTCTTCTGAGTTTTTCCACCAGGAGGCAGCAAGATATTACAGAAATGATGTGGCTCCCTGAAATTCAAATTAGGAGATTCCAATCCTGACCCCTGACTCAGTCTCTTGATCTGTGTGATGGGAAGACTGAGCAGTAACTGTAAGCAGTGACTGAGAGTTTAACACCTGCAAAGGACCACGTGAACATTTGTAATTGCTTTTAATTGTCATAACATGTAATTCTCACGCAGTCTATAAAAAGCCAGTCTCATAATTATCACTATCTGATGGAAAAGGAAGCCAAGATGAAACTGTAAGGACCTTAGTTCACAGAGCTGAGCTATCACCACGAGGGATTTGAATGCAAATCTGCCAGACTCCTGAATTCCGCAGCAGGATGGTGCAGAGATTCCAGATGGTGTTTATAAAGCTCCTGACAGAGGAGAGGTGCTTGAGGGATGAGGAATGCGATCATTACAAACAAAATTGCAAGACTTTTGCTAGTCATTCTTTTCTGAAACCCAGATATAACGTCGCCGAAGAATTTCCCCGGACTGCCAATCTTGCATCAAGTGAGAGATATGAGCAGAGTCTCACACTTGTCATTCACAGGGAAACCAAGCTTTCTGCAAGGTCTCTTAATTTTTGCCGGAGGCTCAGGTAGTATCTGCTTAAGTAGCCGCCCTAGAATTTGTCTTGTGATCTCACATCTCTATTACTAGGAAGAACTGTCATATTTATTCTGCCGAGAGGTCTTCCTCTTGGAGAGTCATAACGGCCTCGGCTGGGGCTGTCGCCCAGTGGCAAAGACCTGTATGATTAGCATGGTCAGAACCCTGGGCACAGTCTCCACCACCACAAAAACAAACAGATAAGGGAGAATTAAAACATCAAAAGCACAATGAGAAAAGCCTTTTGTAAAGTCTAGACTGTACAGATTCTCTGGGAGAAATGATTTAATTGTCCCAAGGACTTAGTGAGGTGGGGGAAAGGCAGGACATGGGGAAAATGCATGCTAAAATACATGAAGACAGACGCTTGCCTGATAGAATCATTTCCACCAAAATCCTTCCACTGCTTTTAGAGGTAGACATGTATTTCACCTGGGAAGTCAATGGGGACATAGTGGAGTAAAATGCTGACCCCTCGCAGAAGGTCCCCTCCATACTAGCCACAGCCAGCGCCTTCCCTCTGAGCCATGAGGCGCCTTTTAGTGCAATCTCACCTCTTTGAGAAATGTAGAATGAGCTGTCATAATTTTTTCGATATTTTATTTAATTAGTACATTTTAGTCTAACGAAATAGTGGGTTTCATTCTGGAATGCTGATACATGCACGTAACATACCTGGATTATTTTTACTCCATGTTATTGTCATCTTCTTTCTACCCTGTCTACAATCCTTCACTTTTTCATGTCTGTTATGGCTTAAGAACTGGTGGTCAACTTAACGCCAGCTGGATTACATCAGCATGCATTGAGCGAAGATGCTCCACCTGAGGAAAGTTGCCAGCATAAATACGTGGAGAAGAAGGGAGGTGTTGAGGGTTGAGGCATTAAGGAGGCATTGTGGGTTCTACTACGAGTTGCTGTTTGAGCTGTTGGTTCTCCTGGAGAAGCTCTGGTCTTCACATCGAGCATTGCTTCCTGGCTCCGGAGGGGAAGACATGTGCTGCTTGGTCTCCAGGATGAACTCGTCACGCTGCTTCCTGGCACGTACCCGACTGTGCTTGTCATCGGAGGAGCTCAGAGCCTCCGTGTCACTGAGGATGGCTGTGGTGCCTTTCAGGACAGCCCTGGTCTTTGTTGTGAGTGTGACTTCTCGGCTCCAGCGTAGAACCCTCATCCCACCAGCACAGCTCCTTCATCCTGCTGGCATAGATTTTCTGGCTTCCACTGCTGACCCTTGGGTCTTCCCAGCACGGATCTGTAAAAGAGACTGGGTGAGTCCTTCCTGTGGGCTCTGGACCTCCAGTTGGACTTGTGGGAGGCATTGTCCTGACCTCTGGGTTTTTATCTGGACTCATGTGGGACATTGACGTGGGGGTTAGGCTCTTGACTAAATAATCTATGTCTTTGGTGTTGCAGATAGATTTCCTACATTCTCCTGTGTTAACTCCCAGTGATCATTATAAAAATATTATAAACTCCATGTCCTGATCCTAGTTGTCCTCTGTATACAACTCCTGACTACAACAATCTCTAATAATTTAATCTTCTCTTTTCTCTCCTCTCCTCTCCTCTTTTCATCTTCTCCTCCCTTCCTTCCTTCCTTCTTCCCTTTCTATCTATTCTTTAGCTTTCTCATATAAGAGAAAGCATACAATATTTGACTTCCCGAGCCTGGTTCATTTTGTTTAGCACGATGGTTTCCTGCAAATGGCATCAACACATTCTTCTTTATGGCTGAATAACATTCCATTGTACGTATTCAGCTCACGATTTTCTTCCGGTCACCTGCTGGTGGACATCTCGCTGTTTCTGTAGTTCAGTGACTGTAAATTGCGCCATCATAAACACAGGTATGTGGGCATGTCTATTGCACACCATCTTTTTAGAGTTTTTTGAAAGCACATATTTTTGATACATAATAATTCCATTATCTAAGGGAAATTGAAACATAAATCTTGCATCTTAATCAATTTTAATTCCATTTCCTTTCATATCCAGAATGCTCACTCTTTCCACAAAGTCTGTCTCCCTGTACCCTATCATCTGGTTTTCATTTTGCTTTTAAAATATACCTCTGTATGTGCTGGTTTTCTTGCAAAAGAGCTACCATGCTGCTTCCTTAATTTCCTGAGTCTGATCTATTTCACTTAGCATTTTGGTCTCAAGGCGTGTCCTTTTTCCCTCAAATTGCTCATATTTGTCCATCTTATGGGTGTGTAGTACTCTATGGTATATATACTGTATATCATGTTTTCTCTGTTCATTCATCTAGTCATTGATAGACATTCAGGCCACTTCCAAGACTTAGCTTAAGGCATGGCTGGAGGAAATGGTTCCTCCCTGTTCAGTTTTTTGAGGAATCTCCATGCTGATTTCCCCAGTGGCTACAGTAGTTTATATTCCTACCAACAAGGTACAAGGGTCCTTTCTCCTGCACCCTGACCTGCATTTATTCACATTGGTACCCTTGATGGTAGGATAAGAGCTCTTTACCAAGACCCCTTTAGAGAATTACAAAGGAAAAGAAATCTGGATTGCTATTCCAAATCTTCAGAGATTTTACAAGCAGAGAAAGCGTTGGCTCAGGAGGGAGGCTTTGCATTTGGACAGTCAGAGTCGCACTCCTCCATTTCTCCCACAAAGTGCAGGTGCACATCTCCACAGGGAGCCCTGGAAAGTGCCCTAGGGAGACAACACCAAACAAGAAAAGGAGCCACCCCGACACCTAATTAGGGTCCAAAACAGGACCAAGGAAAATCGCCTCAGTGAACACGGTGATCACCAGGCTTGCAGAGAGGCAGGTTCACACAGGCTGCAGGGAGAATGAGGAGGAGGCCAAGGCTCGGGCAGCCTTGGGGGAATCGTTTCATTTTTAAGAACAAGATATGACACAAGAAGAAAGAAATAGAGCTGTGGTAAAAACAAAAGTGAGAATAAAAAGCCTGGAAACTTAAATTACAAGGCACTTGATGGCTGTGTTCGGGACGGGGAAATAAATAAGCAGGAAGCAAGCCATGGGAGAGGAAACAAAAATACATTCCGAGCTCAAGGTAAAGAGAAGGTCAGCAGAGATACGTTATAGATCAAAATTGTCAGCAGCACGAGACGAGGAAGGCAGAAATGAAGGGTAAAGCGGGGACACAATGATCAGGGAGATGGAGCTTGCTTAGGAAGGCAGGCAGGAGACTCCAACACCTCAAAAATACCTCGCAGAAGCAACCCACAGACCCCAAAAGGTTGGGGGGAAAGTGGTGGAGGGAACGGTGGGGAGAGATTTCCTGGACAAGGAAAGTCATGCCTTCATGGACAAGGAAATAACATGCCTGTTATTTCCCTCGCATGCATCTCTACACGGTTACCAAAGAGTGCACAGAAATAAATCACCACAGAATGGAAGAGGTGGGCAGGGAATCAATAAGCAATGCATTTTCATAGAGATGCACAGTGCTTTCAAGTGCCGAGCTTTCCTAGGGCTTCTCGAATTAGATGGAGCTGGTCATTGCCAAAGCGGCAACCCAAAGACGAAAGACAGTTTCTAGATAAGATTTCACTCCTCGAGCATAGAAAAGACTGTTAAGACTTCTTATAAGACTCTCTGGGTGATTTAAATACACACCGTCTGTCCTTTTAAATTCCAATAATCCCCAATTACTATGTTCCGCTGTTCTTTATTCCAAGATTAAATGAAATTTATTTTTAACGATCAGCATCCTACCCTCAAATCAAAGAATTTCAGTGATGTTGTTCTGTGAGTCCAATAAAGCCTCTGAGATGTTAAATGTCAAAGATGTTTGTTTATCACCACGGAGGATGGATGGAAAGAGTCCACATTTGAATCCAAGTAAATAATTCCCTCTCGAAGAAGTAATTCTGGTAATAATTAAATTTTAAATTAACTCTTTTCCAGTTATTGAATGCCTTTTGGGGTATGTATGAAAAACATGGCTATTTCCTAGAAAATCAAATGTAAGTTATACGACCAACTATTTTCAAATGATTATTTAGTATTATCAACACAATTATTTCAATATTGAAGGATTAAATGAGGTTGCATATACAAATGATATAATCATGATCAATTTTCACGTATTTATCTTTTGCCCACATTCATGTGGTAGATTATAAAAAATATCCAGAAAGAGGCAAAAATGATAACTAATCAAATGGCAGAAACCAACCAAAGCAGGGACTAGGTTAATTTGAAAGGGCCCCAGATTCAGACCCAAAGTTACCTCTCAAAGCAAGTGAGCAGATGGGCTAAGATAGACTGAACCTTGAATTATACAGTATTCTTTTTTTGGTACTAGGAATCGAACTCATGACCTCACACTTGCCAGGCAGACACTTGTGCTGCTGAGTTAAACCCCCAGCCCTTTAGTCATAGTTTTCAAGTTAAAATTTGCAAAAAAATTTTTTAAAATGACTATCATTATATTCTCTACATGCAAAATGTAGACTTAGAAGCTGTAAAAAAGTACTCAACAAAACCTGGAGCGATGAAAACCACAATATTTGAGATGAAAATTCTCTATATAAAATTAATAGCTGATTAGAAATGTTAAAGAATAAATAAAGAAATGTTCGACATCACTGGTCATTCAAGAGATGCAAATAAAAACAACACTGAGATGCCATCTCACTCCAGAAAGAATGTCTGTCATCCAAAAATAACCCAATGCTGGTGGGGTTGTGGGGGAAAAATATCTCTTTTCCACTGTTGGTGGGAGTGCAGGAGGGGGCAACCACTGTGGAAATCAGTGTGAACATTCCTCAAAATACTAGGATTGGAGGTCCCATTCAATCCAGCTATTCCACTTCTGGGTATTTCCCCAGAAGAATTGAAAACATCATACCACACTGATATACATGCACCCATGTTTGTAACAGCACAATTTGTAACAGCTAAATCTTGGAAAGAACTCAAAGGTCCATCAGCCACAGAATGGATAAAAAAGTTTCATCTACTGGAGTATTATTCTAGTATAAAGAAGGATAAACTTGAGGCTTTTATAGGTAAATGGATGCAACTTGAGACCATACTCATAAGTGAAGTAAATCAGACTTGCATGTGTGAGTATCCTATTGTCTCCCTAGTAAAAAAAGCTGAAACAATAAATGAGACCCAAAATGTACAGTAGATATTGTGAAAGAGGAAGGGAAAGAAATGGCTCAAAAGGAAAGAACAACTGGGATAGGGGAAATCAGAAAAGAAAAATGAATATATATATATATATATATATATATGGATGCATATACATACATCTCTATATGTATCTATCTCAAATATATATATGAATATATATAATATATATATGAATATATTTAATATATAATATATATAATATATAATATATAATATATAATAATATTTAATATATAATATAGAATATATAATAATATATAATAATATATAATATATTCAATATATATAATATATAATATATAATAATATATAATATATTCAAGATATATAATATATAATATATAATATATATAATATATTCAAGATAGATAATATTAATATATATAATATATTCAAGATAGATAATTATATAACTAAATGCTGTTAGTTCATCAAAAAGAATAGTTTGTGCTTTCCTTGTTTGAATGTTTGATTATTTTTTTCATGCCTATATCTTGTAATCTGAACAACTGCTTTGAAGATAACAATACACTGTATATTTTTAAAAATACATATAAAACAAGAAAAGTGTAGTGAAGTGCGTAGATGGGATAGCAATAAGAATTATGCAAAATAAACACAAAGACAAAAAGGAATCAAATGTAGCAGAAATAACCGGTGAAATCTTGGACCGCTTCCAGCAATGTCACGTACATGTAATAACTGTGCTTCCCGTTTTTAAAGCTACATTTTCAACTAATTCCTGGTGTTTTGCTGCTTTGGATTGAGCATACAAATGAAGCAGCATCTCTAGAGAGGAAGATTCTTGGATTCTTTTCTGGAATTACAGGCAGTGTTTGTGAGGAACTGGTGGTTCAGATATCTATCAACTTTGCATCCTGAGGTTCGGTCTATCTTAGCCCATCTGCTCCCTTTCTTTGAGAGTTAACTTTGGTCTGAATTTGGAGGCCTTTCAAATTAACCTAGTGCCTGCTTTAGGGTAATGCTATCAGGTTTGTTGTACTTAGTGAATTACAATATACCCACCTGCTTTCTATCTTCCAAAATTATGCATTATCTTCAATGAATATTGAATCTTGTATCATAATCCTTAGTTCTAACAATTTGATTAATTATATTATTGTGTTT